CCAGGACACCTTGCGACAGTTCTGGGCCTACATCAAGCAGCCTGCGCCGCTCGACCCCGTCCAGGCTGGCTACTTCACCAAGGTCAACGAGTCGCTGCTCGACCGCAAGATGGAGGAGATGCTCGACTTCTTCAAGTCATTGGACAATGTTGTAACAGACATGTTGCAGCACGTCGACTGCCCTGTCATCATGGACCTGCTGTTGAAGATTATCAGCCTTGAGAAGAGCGAGGGCGGACAGGGCATTGTTGACGTAAGTCGTTCCATACACGCTTGCTAGCATAACTAACAGACTCCAGTGGCTGCAACAACAGAACCTCGTTCCCCGCCTGATATCGTTCCTCGCCCCCGATCAGTCGACTTCCACACAAACGTCAGCTGGCGACTTCCTCAAGGCTATCATCACAATATCCGCAAACGCTACCACGCAAGACCAGTCCGTCATCGGGCCTAACGAGCTTACGCGCCAGCTTGTCTCCGAACAATGTCTGAAACAGCTGATCGATTTTATGCTGCAAGGCGGCAATCCGCTGACAGTCGGTGTGGGTATCATCATCGAGGTTATCAGAAAGAACAACTCCGACTATGATTTGGAGAATCAGATTGGGCCGGTACCCAAGAACTCAGACCCCATCTACCTGGGAACACTGCTTCGCCAATTCGCCAACCACATCCCGCAGTTCATGGAGCTGGTTAATAGCTCAAGCCAGATCGTGACACAGCGCGATGGCAGCACTACAAAGAAAAAGCGAGAGCTCAAGACAGCCTTTGGCGAGAAGATCGAACCGCTTGGATTTGATCGGTTCAAGACTTGTGAGCTGATGGCCGAGTTGCTGCACTGCAGTAACATGGCTCTGCTCAACGAACGGGGCAGCGAGGCTGAAGTCAGGAGGCGAGATGCCGAGCGGGAACGTCTCAAGGCTGACGGCAAATTGACTTCAGCGATTCCCGGCAACCCAGGCGATTTCTCCACCAGCGTTGATAGCCAAGGCTTCCACCACGCGCGCGCCCCATCCATGGACTCTCCCGCAGAGATAAAACCTCTGCATGTACAAAACAGTTCGGAAGACGACTTTGAAAAGGTTGTCGCGCCGGAAGTTGCTGTCGAAGAGGCCAAAGATACATCAACGGAGAAGGAGCAGATTGGAGAGCCATTGGAGCCTTCGCCGAAGCTGCCACCGAGAGATGCGCCACAGGAACCGTCCGCTGCCAAGACGGCAGGCGATGACGGCGAGTTTGTTGACGAGCCTCTGACACCACCCAAAGACGCTGCAGCACCTGCCGAGAAACCTGCATCTCCACCTAAGCCTGCAGATGATGCCGAGTCACCCACATCAGCCGGCCTGAGTGCCAAGGTCGATGAGCTTGAACTGGATACTGACACCGTTATGAACGACCGCCAGGAACCGACAGAGCCTGCGAAGACCGAGAAGTCTGATACCGATGTCAAGACCCCGCCATCTCTTCTCACACAGCAGCTCAACCAGACCTCGGATACCACCACCGCTGAACAATCCGAAAGCCTCTCACCCCATCCAGACGACAAACCAGCGCCACTGTTTGCGGGTAAGAACCGCAAAAGTGAAGCCGAACCAGCCAGCATCGACACCTCGCGCTTCACCGCACCAGTAGCAGGATCAGATCTTTCGGAAATAACTCCTATCGACGAGTCTCAGAGCGTGCGCTCGGTGGTATTCGGCAGTGCAGAGGATGCTGCAGGTTTCGAGATCGACATTGACGGTACGCCTGTTGTTGGCGACTTGCTGAAGATCACATTCGTTGAGAACAAAGTTGTACCAACGATACTGGTAAGCCCCTCGATATCTTCCAGCGAAACGTGCTAATATTTGCAGGACTTCTTCTTCCGCTTCCCATGGAACAACTTTCTACACAATGTAGTATACGACGTCGTTCAGCAAGTTTTCAACGGTCAGATGGACCGTGGATACAACCGTCAGCTAGCGATTGACCTCTTCGACAACGGAGGCATTACCGAGCGCATCATCAAAGGACAGCAGGAGAGCGACAAATCGCACCAAGAAACGTCCATGCGACTAGGATACATGGGTCACCTCACCCTGATCGCAGAAGAGGTGTTGAAGTTTACAGAGCGACACACCGACGAGGTTCTGTCGCAGATGGTCCTAGAGAAGGTCCACGCTCAAGAGTGGGTGTATTATGTGGAACATATCCTGGCCGAGACGCGAGAGCGCGACAACGCCATTCTCGGAGGCGTACGACCCGACATGAGCGTCGGGCCCAGACAAGCTGTGCTCAATGCCGTCAACGCAGCAAACAACAACTTTGGAGGCGACAGTGGCGGGCTCTCCAATGCAAGCCTCGCCAACAACGGCAACATAGGCCTCGACAGCATGGAGCTCACCAATGCTGGTGACACTGAGGGTGGTGGGTACACCTTCAGCGGAGGCTCCTTGCTTAGTGGCTTTACTAACTCGAGTGACGAAGAAGACGAAGACATGGACGATGTCGACACCGAGAGAGAGCGGGAACAACGACAGGGACCTGTCGACGACTCCGAACAAGTGGGTGAAATCTCATTTGACGATGCTGATATGGACTATCGATAAGTCCATGGCCCCGAGCATACACACTATACCACGAATGTTTCCCGCCCTTGGTGCGTTTCCTTTTCTTATACTTGTTTGTATCATGAGCGGGAACGGACAGACGGCTCGCATGCTAGATCTATGGGCCTATCATCATCCTTTCTGTACATACATTCCTTGCGCCATCCGACAGGGTGTATGATACATGTAGTAATACGCATCGTGAGATGTGGTTTCCTCTCATCTCCTTTGTGTGATGTACCACTGGATGATTGGGCTTCATTGATCTGGTATGGTGTCCTCTTTCCTCCTCGTTTCCATCTGCTTGTTTCCCCTTTGTTCACCCTTTCTCTGTTGATTCTGATTTGCTCGCGTTCCATCTCCGCCCTAAATTGTCGCCCTATACTACCATTGAACAGCTCCACTAACACTCTCTTCCAGCCCAGTATCCCACCGCCCCTCCAGATCCCCCCATCGCGCGCCCGCCGTCAATTCGCCCTCCGTCTCGCCCAACGCAAAGCGCAGCTCGAATCAACGCGCGAAGCAGAAGAAGACCCAGACGACCCTTCCGCCCCGAAAACCCAAGAACAAGAAGAACGCGAAGGACACCAGCGCTTTGCACGCATGTTCGAAGGCATCGAAGATTCTTCCGACGACGATAGTCTGCACAGTATTGAGGGTATGGGAGAGGACGAGGAGAGCATACTAGGCCGCATCGAAGTTGAGGGCCAGGAGGTGGGCAGGCGGAGTCCGATTAAAGTGGCTAGTCCCGAGAAGGTGAGTAGCCCGGAACTGGAGCGGGGTCCGAGTGGTGGGGAGGGTAAGGAGGAGGAGAGGAGGGTTGTGGTTTAGTATGTTGTTGATGTGTTTATGAATGTGGTATGTGGGTAAGGCGCGGGCGCCGTCAGCGGTATCGTTGATGTGTTGTTCGATGTCGCTGTTGATGGGTATTGCGAGAATTCATGTAGGTTTACGCGATGGATTGGCATGATGTATGTAGTAATGCATGGTTATGAGATACCCCCTTCGATCTATCTCTTGGGATATTGTACTTTACGTTGAGCTGGAGCACCTAATATAGCCGCAACATGCTTTTTTTCTTAGAGAGGTTCGCACTTTGATCTTGTGTTGTGCCGAAGACGAGGCAGGTACGACATTGGCGAAACGTACCTACCCATTCCGACGCTCGCGTCAGGTGACTTGGCGACACGCTAAGTAGAACCTTAGCGCGTCCGCCATCTACCCTTCCCTACCATCAACACTCATAGACTCCATACACAAATCCTACACCACACAGCATGTCGACGCAACCCGCCCCTCCCCGCCCTTCAAACGACCACCGCCGCACCTCCGGCGCCCCCAAACGCCAATCCATCCTCCCAAAACCCTCCTCCATCTTCCTCGACACCACCGTCCTCATCGCGCAGCACGCGCAAATCACCGGCACACACCCCGTCACAATCGGCCCTAATACCGTTTTACACCCACATAGCAAACTCAGCAGCGCGGTCGCACCTGTTGTCCTCGGCGAGGGCTGTGTGGTTTTTGAACGCGCGAAAGTGGGTGTTGGTATGGGTGCTGAGGGTGATGCGGAGGGGAAGAGGGGGAGTATGGCACCTCCTGCAAGGGGGAGTGGGAGTGTGAGGGAATCTATGCGCAGTGAAGGAACGGTGCTGGGTAGGAATGTGGTTGTTGATTCTGGGGCTGTGGTTGAGGCGGCGGAGGTGGGTGAGGGGAGTGTGGTTGAGGTTGGGGCTGTGCTGGGGAGGGGCAGTATTATTGGGAGGGTATGTCATACACGTCCTTTCTTCGCGTTGAAAGAAATCATTATTGGGGCTAACATGTTAGTAGTATTGCACTATATCGGCTTCTTCGGTTATACCGCCTTATACCCGCTTGCCAGATTATACGGTCGTGTACAGTGGGAATCAACAAAGGGTGGATCGGACGCTGCAGCTAAGACCGGAGATTCTGGAACAGAAGATGGCGGTGCACGCGAAGCAGCTGGATATGTTTAAGAAGCTCATTCCCAATAATATTGCGAAGTGGTCTTGAAGGGAGGACGTACTCGGGTCTTCGCGCTATCCTTCGGATTCCAGACGGGACGAGCTTCGATACAACGCCTCGACGACGTTCTTACACAAACCTCGGCCTACAGCGGTTCCAGGAGTGAAATATCTTTGGGTAGTGAAAGTAAGGAACTCCTACAGGACTCGGCGCTGGTTGCCTTGTGAAAGCTATGGATAGTCATAGCGGAAGCAATGGCAGCATTCTTTCACCGACCAGTGGGCCCTCTGGGAACATACAATCTCCTCTCTGGTTGTATATGTACGAAGCACCTCCACCGTTCACGACAAGAACCACCACACCATTCAGCTCTACCGGCACTTGCGTTCAACCATATCAGTACCAGCACCAGCATTACGACCAACAATGCCTCTCTACGCCTCCAAATCAGCCTTCCTCGCTTCGGACATGAAAGCGTGTCCCATGCAGCCCTCCGACCCCTCCTGTCCTATCTGCCGCGAGGATCTCCAGCCTCAGGAGTCAGAAGCCTTATCCGCGAGCCCTTCAAGCGAAGTCGCACAGAACGGTAACCCCATTACGAACGGTTCCGCCCATGACCATGGCACCACCGCCGTCAACAGCGCACCCGCTGAACCGAACGAAGATCACTCCCCCGTCAAGGTCACCTGCTGCAACAACATCTTCGGCCGCAATTGTCTAGAAACTTGGCTCACCAGGGGAAACAGCTGTCCATTCTGTCGCGCCGAGTTTTTCCCCTTGCAGACCGCACCAACCCGACTGACATTCGAATGGTTTGCTCGGGCCATGGGGACAGCAGGAGCTCGAACCGACGCGAGGTTGGAGGCAGCGAGAGCTCGATACACAGAGGGCATGGAGGCGGCGCATATTCGATATGCAGAGAGCATAGAGGCTGCGACACGTCGCATTACAGTCACACGTAGAAGGGACCTGCGCACGCTTGAGGCTCTGCATAGGGCGGCGGACCCGGATTCGGAATTGGCGGACCAGGATGACGCTGAGGATGAGTCTGAGTTGTCCTTCGAGACCGAGTCGGAGGATGATTTTGATTTAATGCCCGAGCTAGAGTCGGAGGATGAAAGCGAAGGGTACCACTCGGAGTCTGGGTCTGTTATGAGCGAAGATGAGGATGACGAGTCTGAGTTTGAAGATGAAGATGAAGATAGCGGTGATGAGGACGGTGGGGGCGGTGGACCCCCGGAAGGACCTGGATCTGGAGGCGCGGTTTGTGTTGGGTGCGCTCATACAGGTGCTTCAGTGCGAGCCTAGAGTGGCGTCGCTGGAATAACGAGTGTAAAGGAAGGTTTCGATAGGCCGGAAAAGATGATGTATTCATTCTTCCTGAGTGCGTATCTTATAGTCATCCATGAAAAATCATGTCGAAGTAGCACTTGCTTCAACCATCACAAGCTCAGCATCTATTATACTCATCCCCTGACTTTGCACGTCTACCTCTACCAACATACCTATCCGGCTATGACCAGCTGGGATAGCTTGAAACATCGTGGTATCCAACGATCCAGCAGCTGGTCATAGCCGGATACGTACGTTGGTAGAGAAAGATGTACCTATCAGACTGCACCACATCTCCCACAATCACCGTCCCAACCCTGTCTATCCTGACTCACTGCCACCGAAACGCATCCCCCGGAATAAAGAAATTCGCATCCTCAAACGTAATGACGCGATCCATATCGAGAAAATGGCTATCCATAAATGCATCCGACAGATTAAGCAGAGATTGGTCTTGAGTGCTATGCTGATTCCCCGTTGCGCTAGCATTGCCGTACGGGGCGAGCGATGGACCAGATACCGGGACTCCGTTTCCGGGCTGTTGATACTGCTGTAATGGGGTATGACTCGGGTAACTAGCTGGTACTTGCGGCGACGCGTATATCGGAGGTGGCGGCTGTCCGGATGGTGATATCGCGTGTGCGGATGGAAGGCGCGGATGGTGTTGCTCATAGCTGCTGGGTGAGGGCATGGTTGTATTCCGGGTTATGTCTGGAGGCGGGATGCGGCGTGGGCTGAGGGTCGAGTGTGAACTAGTGAAGCTGTTGGTGCGTCCGTGGTTCCTCATTAAAGAACGTTCATGCGCAAGGCTTCTGGAACGCGCTTGTGGTGTTGCGGCGTAAGTCGGACTGGCGTAGTTTTGTGGGTCGAGGGTCAGGCCGTTGTGGTCGTAAAAGTCGAAGCGGAAATTTGCGTCGTTTTGACAGGCTTCGAGGAGTCGTTTGAGGTGGTTTGCGTATATAGCTGCTTGGTTGTTTGGTTTCGCGTCGTCAGTGTTTTTCCCTTTCCATCTTGCGGCCATTTCCTCGAGATTGTGGATTAGGCGGTGGAATTCTGATCGTAGAGGTTTGCGGGTGGCTTGGTGTTCGAAGAGTAGTGCTTTGGCGGCGATGAAGGCACAGAATGAGAATTGGACGTTAACAAAGGGTATGGGAGTGTGGGTAAGAAATTTGTCGACGATGTTTGAAGTTTCTACGGCGGCGAGCTCGCACGTCTGGGCACTGCATTCTTTCGGTAGTGCGACGAAGTCGTTCCATCCGCGGGGTGGGTATCCGATTGGGTGGTGCAACAATATCATCGAGGTATTATGCGTAATGTGTGCTAGTGTCAGATTGGGATCCATGTCAACCACAGTCCTGTCTGACGAGATATTGGAGTCCTTCCACCTAGGTGGCAAGAAGATCTTCCACTGCACAAGCCTCAAGTCTAGCTCCTTGAAGCGTGTCAGCCAACTGACTGCATGCTCCTTGTCTTGCCAGTTGATCCTTTGTTGAAGGAAGAATGTCGTCACTTGACTCAAACTCTCGGTTGCTTCGACACAGTATGCGAATGCGCCTAGCTTGGAAGCATCGATGTAGCCGTTGGCGGAATTGGGGCTGGCTCCTGGCGGCAAGTGGTCGACTCCTGGGTCCTCTTCGTTATATTGTGCGGGCACATTTGCCAGTGAGCGCCCAATGCGGGCGGCGGCCTTGTTCCAGATGCCGAAGTAGGGTGTGGTTACCGGCTCTTCTCTGGTGAAGAAACCGCCGTCTGCCGGTAACCGACGGTGCACGTCATCTGCTGTGAGACTAGTGTTCCATCCTGTAGACACCGAACAATATCGATCGAGCAGAAATATGATCCAGAACAATCTTCGTCGCTCTTCCAACTCCGTCCAGTCGTTTGAGGGCTTCACCAACCGCACAGGCGTCATGAGTGATCCCGACTGCGACGTTGATGGCTCAGTAGTAAGCTGGAGGTAGTCTATAGTCCTCGTGAGCGATCCGATCAGCGGCCACGCTCTTTGTGTTTGTCCGTCATTGAGAAGATCGAAGACTAGAAAGATGAGGGCCTGCAAGCTTTCGATGGTGACATTGCGCATCGCATGCGTTTCCACAATCATCCGGGAGACCCTCGTCTGCTGAATGATCTGATCATTATCCAGGTATAGTACGTTGGGCTCCATGTGTCGCAAAGCAACGGCGACCAGAGCATGAAGGACCAACACATGTCCTGGATCCTGGCAACCTTGGCGCACTCGCGTTTGGAGTCTCGCCTTATGAATATATGGGATCCAATGATGGAACGAGACGCAGAAAAAGTCTGCGACCTTCTCGAGCAGTGGTTGAGATGGCAAATGCTGCGCGATATCAACATCTTCAAAGGGGAAAAGCCAACTCTCAGCAATTGGCATTTCGAATCTTCGTTTGAGAGGATTGGACGCGCCGTTCTCTTCTTCGGAAGCTCTGGAGCCATCCTCTGCGGGTTGGTGGTTGTGGCTATAATCGGGAGTAGGCGCGACATACGGCGCGTGTTCCTCAACACGAGGTGCGCGTTCTTCTACAGCACTCGGGCTTTCATGCGCGACGCCATGGCCATTCGCCGTGGTATCATCGTCTCTATACCGTGGCCGGATGTTTCCCGCATCATCTAGCAGTATCCTCTCCAGAAAGGCTACGGAGCGTAAGATTGAGTTCATTGTAGAAGGAGGACCACATACCGACGCGGCGGGTCAACGCCTCAACAGCTCCGGGCTTAAGCCCAGGTTTGTTCTTTGGCTGATAAACACATTCAGAGGCTATGGCACATTAGCGACGCAAGATAGCGACGCGAAATAGCGCCAATCGACAGAAACACTCACACAGCCTCAAGCAATGCGAGCACGAGGGTGTCTCGCGCGAGCATCGCAGCTTGCGTTGCTTGCAGCTAACGCACGCGGGCGTGTCACCGCCCACCGAGACGGGACCGTCGTCCTCGCCTGCCTGGCTACCATTGCCAACCGAGTAATTGGTCCACCCAGCCGACATCAGCACGACATCGCAAGAACGCTGATCAAGAAGAAGCAAATGTGGAGGATGCAGCGAGCGGCGGGCATCGGGATAAATCGATAATTACTCCACACGCGGGCCCCGCGCGGTCTAACCCTCCTTTCGGCTGATCACCATCACTCCACCCCGGAAGCCACCCGATTCCATCAATACGGGACGGGAACCTATGGCGATACGCGGTACCGACATAGCTTTCGGATGCGCTACCTATTGAAGCTTGGATGTAAAGAGGCACGAACTGTCTTTTGCACCCACTGGAAGGTACCGCCCACAGGGGGTCACGCCATAGCACTGGACACAGGAGACTACGGAACATGTAGAGGCACAAACGCACAGCCTCAGTCTGAAAGAACTCTCAGGCTCTGCATCTTCACGCAGTCTAAGCTCTTGATGACGCTCAGGACACTATGCCTCCGCTAGACGGCTTCTCAAACAACCCGTTCAAGACCCACGCCGACTTCAAAACCGCATCAATAGCACTCCTTCGCGCACTGAAGCCATATCAATCACCCCATGGCGCCCGAATCAAACTCCCATTGTCAACCGGCACCCATTTCGACGATGTCGCCGCCCAGCTTGAAGGATACGCCCGGCCGCTATGGGCAGTCGGCGCGCTGATGCACTCGAACATCGTGTCTAAAGACGAGTACGAAGAGCTTATCGGACCATACGCCATAGGCCTGGCCAATGGTACCAACCCACACCACGAAGAGTACTGGGGTCCAGTCGTGCTACGTGACCAACGAATGGTGGAAATGGAGATCATCTCGTTCGCGCTACTATCAGCTCCAGAGACCATGTTCCATTCGCAGTCGGAAGAAGCGAAGAGGAATATCACGATGTGGCTGGGGACTATCAATGGCAAAGACTTCCCCACGACAAATTGGCTGTGGTTCCGCGTCATGACAAATTTAGCATTGATCAAAGTCTGCGGCGTACCGAAAGAGCATGTACTCGATGCGATGAAAGCGGATTTGGATCTCATGGAGCAGTTCTACCGAGGGGACGGCTGGGCAGCAGATGGTATCTGGAGCGATGAGGGACGACAGGCAGATTACTATTCCGGCAGCTTTGCAATCCAGTTCTCGCAGCTTATCTATGCGAAAATGGCACAGGATCTGGATCCAGAGCGGTGTGAGAGGTTTCGGGGTAGAGCGAAGGAATTTGCAGTGTCGTTCTGGCGGTACTTCGACACCAATGGTATGTTGAACACCTACCGCAGGCACCCAACACTAACCAACGCACACTAGGTGCCGCTATACCCTTCGGCCGCAGTCTAACATACCGTTTTGCATTCGCTGGATTCTGGTCCGCCGTTGCTTTCGCAGAGGTCGAACTTCCCGAACCACTCAACGACTGGGGCGTGATCAAAGGACTTTTACTCCGGCACTTCCGCTGGTGGAGCAAGAAAGAGGACATGTTCAACGTCGACGGCACGTTGACAATAGGCTTTACCTACCCCAACATGTACATGAGCGAAGACTACAACAGCCCGCAATCTCCTTACTGGGCTATGAAATCTTTCCTAGCGCTAGGACTGCGGAAAAATCACCCGTTCTGGACTGCGGAGGAGAAGCCTTTACCCAGTGCAGATGTGGAAGTTATGCCAGTTAAACCGGCTATGCATATCCTCTCCAACCAGCCAAACCACCATTTCCTCCTCTCCATGGGCCAATTCTGTCCTTGGCCGCTCAAAGCTACAGAAGCCAAGTATGGAAAATATGCTTACTCATCGCACTTTGGTTTCAGCGTGCCTACTGGTCCGCTGATACAGCAAATCGCTCCAGACAGTACACTCGCGGTGAGTAAAGACGGTGGCGAGACGTGGCGCGTACCATGGAAGGTCACAAACCATCGCTTTGCTACTGCACAACTGATGCGCAACGACGAATTTATAGAAGATATACCGTGCCTGACGAGCACTTGGAAGCCCTGGGCCGACGCCGATATAACGGTACAAACACACATCGTAGCTCCTTGCTCGCGCTGGCCAGATTGGTACATCCGCTGGCACCGCCTCACCAACAACGGGTCTAGTGTTATCAATATCCAGGCCGTCCAAGGTGGCTTTGCGATCCAAGGCCGCGGCGATAAGTACGGTGAAGCCTTATCAGCACACGCACATAGCTCTGAGTTCTCCATCCAAGCAAGCCGAACCAATGCATCTTTCCCGCAAGGCACGGTAACAACACAGCACTCAACACTCATCTGCTCCAACGCCGGCGCCAGCGGCATCGCTGCCCTCGATTCAAACAGCACCGATTCTCCAACGACAAAAATGTATGCGGAAGTCCTGAAACCGGATGCGAATACGAATTTGATGTGGCAGCGCACACTTATACCTACCATCCGGAACGAGTTGAGCATCGCGCCGAATACGAGTGGACAACCAGCTTCTGAGTTTGGCAGCGCAGTCTTCGCTCTGGCTAGGACGAGTGATAGAGAGGAGCGGTACACGGGGTTGAGTTATAGTGAATTGTGGGGTGATGTACCTGTACTGGATGCTGGGAGAGGGCAGCAGAAGGATGGGGAGTGGTATATTAAGCTTAAGTAGATATGCGACAGGCTAGCAAATGCATATGATTCCGTCTAGATCAGTTAGCTGGGCAGGATATAGAGACGTTATGTGACTTACCATACAAACCCTAGTCACAGCCTTGGCCGACAAAGTATGAGTAATCGGAGTGTCAAAAGCTAAAGGTAGGGGCGTAGGTCTGAGCAGCACATAAGCATGAGCCACACGCAAATGATATTTGAAACATAATCTAGTATTCAATCTAGCAAAAAAAGACCCGCAAGCCAAGCTAATCGTGCAAATGTGATAATCGGTATATCTTCCTCCATTCCCCAATCCGATTCAGATAGGCGCCCAGACATTTCAAATATTGTCCGTTATAGCTAGAGAACACACAGATAGTACAAGCAGGTCATGATCTTGCCAATCCGCATCATAGATGTGCAGAGGTGATTTTTTTGTACATGACAAAGAGTCATAGAAAGACCACGTATAGCCTCCTTAGCTTGCGCTGAGGTCCAAGACACCGGGTAACGCCAACATGATTGATTAGCAAAAGGTGGCTGCTGTGCCGCGAAGGATGAGTTTGTTGGTTGGGTTTGGTGTTTCTACCTCTTCCTCACGCAGAAGAAGAGACCAGTGCGACCAAGGAACCACAAGCATCCGGCGAAACGGACAATGGCGAGCGCAGCGGTAGCCCAAAGAAGGGCCTGGAAGAAATGCGCGGTTCTGCCGGAGGCGCTTGACTGTAATTGAGTTAGTAAAATGATCGAGATAAGAACTTCAAGTAACTTACAGAGAAACCGAAGCGGTCGAAGTTGTCCTGGGTAATGACAACCGCAAGTGTGGCGTTTGAACCAATCCAGGCTGTGCACAAATGGGTACGGAAAGACTTATAAGAGTCCTCCAGAGTCTTCTCGTCGCTCTCGACAGGTGGTACGTAAGGAGCGAGAGCGCGCTTGACGGTAGCTTCGAACTGACTGTCAATATCGGCTTGTGGCAGATCCGGCTCCTCGATAACGTTGTGCTTGCCGTCGGCTCCCTTCTCCGTCTTCGCTGAGGGAAGTGCATCTGCCTTGTCGGAACCCTTGGTACCCCAAGAGACATCGTGCCAGTTGGAGAAGGCGTAGACGTTGAGGATGTTGACATAGGAGGACATGATAAGCAGATACTGCGGGAACGAGGTGAACATGTGCCATGGGTCCATGTAAAGGAATGAGGCGACGTAGTAAAGACCGAAGGTAGCCGCAAGAGCGATAATGATAATACCGACACCGCTCGACGAGAAGAAGGACGAGGCGAATGCTTCCGGTGATGAAGTATCGAGTTTCTGCGAGGACGGGTTCGTGAAAGCCTGAACAACGAGGTAGATGGACAGGATAACAATGTAGAACTGGATGAGACCGAAGACGCAGAAGGAGACCAGGTAAGACCACTTGGAACCCTTTGGACGATTACCAAAGGCCAAAATGAACTGTAGGACCAGGAATGCGAGGTAGAGATAGGTGACGATGACGTTGAAGATGGGCGTGACAGTGTTTCCGAAGGGCCAGGCGTCTCGGTTATCGGTTTTGGTGCCGACAAGACTCATGATAACGACGGTGGTAAGCCAGAAGGAAGCCAGGGAGAACCAGGCCATGATAGTCTGGAAGACGTTGTACAACATTTGAATGTGCAGGAAGAACATGCGGACGAGGTTGTGGCCACTCTTGTACATGCGGCCGAAGTGGAGCAGGGAGTAGATACCGGCAGCGAAGGAACCGTTCAACCAACGACGACGCTGACCGATGAACTCGGCAGCACCCTCAGGCACATCGGTTTCACCCTTGGAGGCCTTGATGTAGGTGAGATGCCACTTGGATCCAGCCTTGGCGACAAGCTCGAAACACAGAATACGATCTTCGGCCAAGAACATGTTCTTCTTGAAAATGTTCATACCCTCAATACCCTTCTTTCCGAGGATCTTGGCGAGTGTGTGGTCACCGTGGAAGTACTGCTCGAGCGGTCGGCCCATGATAGCACGGTATCGGTAGGCCGAGAAAGCACCAGGCAACACAGAGACGTATCCGAAGGAGGATTCCAGCGGCTTGTCGAGAATGTTACTGATCTTGTACTCGAAGTTTTGGGCGGCTACAAGGGGGTTGAGGAGGTTCTTCCAGCCCTTTCCTAACATAGCGTGAATCTCACCGCAAGCACCACCGAGATCCTTGTCGTTGTAGAAACCTTCCCAGAGGGCAAGAAGGGACTTGGGACCGGGCTTTGTACCAGCATCGAGCAGAATGCAGACTTCGGGGTTCAGGATGCGACCGATAGCAGTGAAGAGCCACCTGTGGGAGTTGATCTTCTTGCTGTTCTTCTGCTTCAAGCAGAACATCATCTGAACGGGGGGAAGTGTGCTGGCGCTGTCATCGTGGGGGCGAATGAGCTGCTGGTTGGGCGTAACGGAAAGTTGCGTGGTGTATTCGAACTGACTTGTTAGTAAATTACTTATAGACTAGAATTTGATCAATACTTACGATGTGAGCAACAGTCTCGTTTCCGTCAATGTCCTTCTTCATGACACCGTCCTGGTAAATACCGACGGTGGCGAGCAGATCGAGAGTACCCTTGTCGCAGGGGTCGATACCGTCGAAAACCAAGCACACGACAATCTTCTGCCAGGCCGGACCGCCCTTGTTCCAGAACTCGGACTTCTTGAGGTTGACAATGTCGCGGATGTTCTGCATGACACCGTGCAGAGTACGGGCAGTGAGAACCTTGTCTTCGTTGTAGTAGGTGATGGCAATGAGCAGCTCGGTGTGGCGGTTGTACATGGCCGGACGCAGATTGTAACCGTTCTTGAGGGTGAAGTCGTTGGGGTCGCATGTCGCAGCAGTGTCTAGCGGCTGTCAGACCTGAAGGGGAAATACAGAACGTGGGACTTACAGCGCATGTGGGTAAACTCCTCGCTACCGCTCTCGAGGTCATTGCGGTACTTGGCCTGAATGGCGTTCTGGATGGCAGAGGGGACGGGGTAGTCGGCACTCAGAACGGAACCCTGGACGAGCTTGACCTTACGGGTCATACCACGCTTAAGGCCACCGGCGGCACCTCCGCCGGGCTGCTGTCGCTGCCTCCATGCTTCGGTCGAGCTGGTCTCGCTCCTCTGGTATGGTGATGGGGCCCGCTGGGGAGCACCAAAGTCGCCCTGCGCGTCGTAGCCACCGGACGCCGAGTAGGAAGTGCCCGCGTGGGCCTCGCCGGGGTATTGTGTTGGCTTGTCGGTCGCGTAGGACTCGGTCAAGCTGTAGGTGGAGTGCGGGCGGACCTCAGGGTTGCCGTAGAAAGGGTCCGGGTGGGCGCCGGTAGGGTTCTCGTGCAGCAGCGAGCGGCCTACTTCCTCCTCATCGTGGGTGCGGTCGTACTGCGGACGCTGTCAGTATGTCGTGCCTTCCGCCATATCATCAGGGGCGCCTACGCCGGTGTTCGGGTCTCCAAGGTTATAACCTTGGTTATTGTTGTACGCCATGACGTGCTGCAGTCCACGGGCCGGCGCTGCAGATGGCGGTGTTGAAGGGAAAAAGGAATAGGCGGTAGGGGTATAAACGGTTGAGATGTCAGAAAGGCGGCAGCGCACAACTCGGGGTGTCGCTTGATAAAGGTGGATGGAATGTCTGGGGCGCTTCAGGGCTGAGAAAGCTGAAGGGACGCGCGCTATACCCCTTGTGGTGGGATGGGGGAAGGTGCGCTAGGAAAACCGCCGTCTCTGAAACACGGCTTAGCCAGCTTCTATTCGTCGTCGCCGTGTAAGCTGCGCGTTTCGGATGCAGCTGGGCACTCCTTTAACAAGAATGCATTCGTGGAGACGCTTCAAGAACGGGCGATCGCTTCTACTTGAATTCGACGGCAACCGCAAAACCTGCTGGCGGTGAAGCACACGACCGAAGCACATGAAGTCTCCGTCGTCTGTCAGTGTGGCGCTAGCCGGCCACGACCTGCTAAAATTAGACAGGCCCTGGACGCTTGCTTGCTCAGCCTCACCAAAGTCTACCAACATCGCTATCGCCGGCATACTATGATACTGTCATGTAGACTGCCTGACTCGCCCTGCGCAGACTACTCCTACGACGTGCATACAACGCCCGTTGCCGTCGAGTGGCTGAAATGCTCAAAATGCCCTTCTGCACGGCTGCGCGTCTCTGTCTCAAGCTAGGGGTCGCACGGCCGACGTCAGCCAGCTTTCAAGGTTGCTCCGCAGGCGGATCCACTCAGAGAGATCTCCTAGTTCTCTGCAAAGGGTTGCATGCATCGCTACTGTGACCCAGCCTACCGACCTGTATACGAACCTGTAGTCGGAGCGATTGATTTCTAAATAGGGCCGTTCCCATGCCACCACTACAAACCTTGCCACGTCGTTTTTGCCTGCCGTTTTGCCAGCGTTATTGCAGTGCTGCGTTTGGCTGCCGGGTTCGCGTGATGGCGGTGCGGTGACAGGGTCCAGGCCTATGGTGAGTCTCCTATCCGTCGCTGTGGGCCGCCGTTGGAAAGTTGTTCCTGGACCCAGGACCCTTCATCTCTGCTGGGTCTCACATCTCAACCGCCACATACTCGATCTCGCTGACAGCTTGGCATCGGCGTCGGTACCACATATGTTCTGAGACGACGTCGAAAGTCAGATCTTCCACCACGATCCTTGGTTGAATACAGTCCTGCGTTATTGGCTTTCTTGCATATGTGCACGATAATATGCAAACAACAGGCTGGCCTATGCTGAGCAACAGTCTGCGCAGCTCCCCCCAGTCATCGCATCACGTGCTACAGCCACTTCTTACATCCATGATACCACCAGGGCTGCGAAGTTCCTTCCAACTCAGGTAGCGATAGAAACGTCCCCTCAAATCGCTTCTTTCGCGGCGAAGATGGCGAACGCTTCTGCCTCTTTGCATCTTATCGCGCGGGGAGGAGCAGGCCGCACCTTCCGTCACCAGCGCCTCAACAAAACGAAAACTTGTATTCTCCATGTGCATCCACACCACTCGTGTAGTCTTCCTCATGCTCGAAAAACAACACCTTATTACTTAACCCGCTTGGCTGGCGTCATACCCGCTGCTACTGCCCCGCATCGAAATAATAGTCGCAATAGTTGTAACTACAACAATTGAACATCTTGTTCGCGAATCACCTACGAAGCTCTACACAGTTCCTCTTCGACCCGCATATCCACTAAGCGGTACGAGCCGCCATGGCCTCAGCCGCACCATTAGTGGATCTGCCCAAATCCAAGTCTGGTGCTTCACCACCGTCAACGGCGACCACATCTCCAATAGCCGAAGGTCACGTCAATACAACTCAATGGCGAACACCTGAGAATCCGGACTTTGTTCATCCTGATCACGCAATACCGTCACCAAGTTATCCCAGCGCGGAGAACCTCATCATTGTCTGCTGCCACGCCATTTTCACTCCGAACGCCGATGAGTCCAACTTCCCACTGTGTAGTCCTCACTACGAGCCGCATTGGTTGCTAGCGCCTTTCCAAAAATCAGACGAAGCGACAGGCAAGCCAGGCGAGCATGAGACGTTCTTGGCCCATATCAAAGCTGGTATCGATGCTTTGACCGTCGGAACGGACGCAGAGCATCCACCTTCAAGCATTCTTGTCCTCAGTGGCGGGGCTACTAAACGAGCGGAGTCTCTGAAAACCGAGGCACGCTCATACTACCATGCAGCGCTCGCAGAAGAGTTAGCAGAAGGTCACAGGGGTGGGGGACGAACTCATAGGTGAGCACCCTGTATACTTGTCGTAATTCCAAAACTCGTCATCTGAGGACAGTGAATGAACCAGAAGCAAACAGCAAGGCTCACTTCGAGACAATTTTTTGACCAAATACGCAGACTATACAACAAAGGATATATATTACTAGAGGAACAAGCGACGGATTCATTCCAGAATCTGCTATTCAGCATCCTCCTGTTCAGGAAGGCTACTGGCAACTATCCGAAACAGATTCGGGTAATCACGCATGCTTTCAAGTCGAAGCGGTTCCTCGAACTACATGCTCCGACTATCCGATGGCCGAAAGAGCGCATCCTGGTGCAGGGTATAGATCCGCCGATGGCAAACGACGCATTACAGAGCACGCTTCGTGGGGAAGAAGAGAACGGATATGCGGCGTGGGAGAATGACCCCATGGGTACCGGAGATCTTCTAGGTGGGAAGAGACAGTTACGCGGATGGGACGCCAGCAAGGCAGCCAAGCATTTCAAAGACTTGGAAGATAGTGTCAAGGAGTTGTTTCAAGGCACAGTATCCGACGAGCTGCCATGGATAAGCTAGAGCAAGAATTGCTAGGACTTGCTTACTATCTAAACTCCTACCTATCCTATCGAAGCGTTGTATTTGGTCGCCCACAGAGCACGACATCTTCACCTAGCGGGATCCATCTCGTGTCTTTCAATCTTGTGATGGGCAGTCGTTCTGAGCCGCCATCCGGACACACCTGTACACCGCCTCTTCCTAGCCACGTAGGAGCAATCGTGACGATTACCGAGTCGACCAGCGAGTAGGCGGGACCAGGTCCCAGTATATCATTGATGACAAAACCGCCACCTTCAATCATCACACTCTTTATACCTCGGTGCGCCAAAGCATCGAGGATGATATGCCACGACGAACCGGATGCAGCAATGTCTTCAGGAGAAAGTCCCAGAACCAAGAACTGGCCACCTACGCTTTCGAGTATCTTTCGTTGAGTATTGGACGGCTCCACGCAGGTCACGATGTAAGGTGCTTTTCCCTTTCCCTCCTTGGCTAATCTTATCACCTTGCTTGCTTCGCTGAATTGCCAGCGTCCGTGGGGATCAACAACGACTGGCCTTGGTTGTCCAACGAGCCCTTCTCCACCATAGCCGCCGACGCCTTCGATTCGGCAATTTAATGATGGGTTGTCGGCAATGGCTGTCCCCGCTCCGATCAGAATAGCATCGTGTCTTGATCTCAGGAAATGGGTCATGGCCTTGGATTGCGGGCCAGATAACGCTGTCTGCACGCCGGGCGCGATAGCTAATTGGCTGTCGAGCGAAGTAGCGAAGGTTAATGTAACGAAAGGCTTAGAAACATGTTGGTGGGATCGGGGCGATGTAGGCGGGTCATGAGGTAGGTAGCCTTCTATGTGCTGGCTATCCGAAGCTGGAAAATGTAACGCGTCTCGTACAGCTGTCATGGCTGCTGTGACTATGTTTCGACTGTACGTACGAGTATCGTGAGTCTGTACCTAGGTAGATGGAAGGCTGAAAACCATGGGTGACTAAGCCGTAAAGTGGGCATCACCGAGAAACCGTGTTTGGACCCCACGTCGCAGCACGGACGCCCGAGGATCGTGGCAGTCTGCCCAACTTATCCTCACCCTCACGTATAATATCTCTAGCCCTTCTTTTGTTCGGCATTTGTACTTTCGCAGGCCCTCGCACTCGCCGCCTTCTCCACTAGCCTCTCCCTATCACCCAACCGCCACCTAGTCCTCTACCTCTCGCCGTTTGCCCCACGACCCTCACGCGCGCGCATTCCAGCACACCAACGCGGTTATATCTACACAGGCAATAGCCCGGACGCCGCATACAATACCGCCAAGATGATGAAAATATGGTCTATGGTAGGTCTTTGGAATTCTAGTGTCGCGTGGTAATACATGACGGCTAACAATCTTGTAGAAGAAACAGCAGCAGCAGGATGAGGCTGCACAAGCTGCGTCGAGCAAGAAGAAGAAGGTCACCCCAGCCCAGCTGCGAACACAAAAAGGTACCGTCATCTCTCGACTACATACCATGTCCCTCGCAAAGCTAACGCGACACAGATCTCGAGGAACTATCTCTCGGCACAACGATGAAGACACACTTTCCCAACCCCGACGATATCCTAAACTTCGAGCTCACGATCGACCCTGACGAGGGAATGTATAAAGGTGGACGCTTCAGATTCGACTTCAAGATCAACCAGAACTTCCCTCACGACCCGCCAAAAGTCAAGTGCACACAGAAGATCTACCATCCGAACATCGACCTTGAGGGCAACGTCTGCCTGAACATTCTGCGAGAGGACTGGAAACCAGTATTGAACTTGAATGCGGTTGTTGTTGGTCTACAGGTACGTTACAGGGTTGCAAGATATGGAATGGCATACTGACAGATCACAGTTTCTCTTCCTCGAGCCGAACGCGTCGGACCCGCTGAACAAAGAGGCTGCCGAAGACCTCAAGCAGAACCGAGAGGGCTTCAAGCGCAACGTGCGCGCATCGCTCGGCGGCGGCACAGTCAAGGGACAGAACTTCGATCGCGTGCTCAAATGAGCTCTGTCGCATAGGATCAGAACAACACAAGCTTTCACGCAGCAGTCCTTCGAAATGCCCCCCCACGGACGGATGCATCACAATGACATGAGACCGAGCCACGGGCTTATTGCAGGACGGGGTTGATGCATGGGAGAAGATTGAAGGTGAACATGTCAATACATTAGCGATTGCATGTATGGTCTGGCGCATCATGTAGAGGGTGCATGGGTATCATACGGGCGCAAGATAGTCTTTCAAGATCTCATACAATATGACTGCACATTTGCGCACAAAGATGGTTTTGCCAATTCGTGATACTCTACTGTGACTGCGATGTTTGCTTGAAGATGGCGTCACAGCCAGACCGAATCTGTATCCCTCTACCTAGGCTGTGAAGCTATACGCAAACCGTACTGCGCAACGTTACCTTGTAGTAAATAGGCCCGCTTAGACTACGGTCAATCTCACCAAGTCATCAGCCGCCACGCACTATCCACTATGACTGGGTCCAGCGATGCCTCATATCATCAGAACCGCTCTCGGAGACACGCATTCCTCCCCGACGACCCTCCGGCCCCCCTGCTAGCACTCTAACGGTGTGCGGTGATTGGCCAAAGACGCGAACGGTCGGTCTGGGGCAGCGATAATCGGCCTGGTCCAAGCTCCCCAACTCGAAATTCTGGGTGGGTTGACGATCGAGCCCAGCGTGTTTAAAAGCCCATATCCCCGCCAAACAATTCTGACCCCAAGATACCCCTTTCACACACTTTCACAATGGCTTCAAGACCTGTTACCCGCGCTCTGCGCCAAACCGCCCGCCAATTGGCTTCCACTCCCGCTCAGAAGCGCACTTTTGTGTCTGCTCTGAGTGCTGGTGCTAAGAAGGCTGCTCCCCGCGCGGCTGTCACAAGCCAGTTTCAGCAGACCCGTGGTGTCAAGACCATTGACTTTGCCGGAACCAAGGAGACCGTCTACGGTGAGTTTGACCATTCTCGATGCATCGGGATCAAAGCTGACAACAAACAGAGCGTGATGACTGGCCAAAGGAGAAGCTTCTTGAGTACTTCAAGAACGACACCATGGCCATGATTGGCTACGGATCTCAGGGTCACGGCCAGGGTCTCAACATGCGCGACAACGGCCTTAACGTCATTGTCGGTGTACGGAAGAACGGTGCTTCGTGGAAGGAAGCCGAGGCCGATGGCTGGGTTCCCGGAAAGAACCTGTTCGACATCGACGAGGCTATTGGCAAGGCCACCATTGTCATGAACCTTCTCTCAGATGCCGCTCAGTCTGAGACCTGGCCCGCCATCAAGCCCCAGCTCAAGGGCAAGGTAAGCAATGCTCATTAATTCGACAAGAGTTGAAACTAACAAACCCAGACTCTCTACTTCTCCCACGGTTTCTCCCCCGTCTTCAAGGACCTCACCAAGGTCGAAGTCCCCACCGACATCGACGTCATCCTCGTCGCCCCCAAGGGCTCCGGCCGCACTGTCCGCACCCTCTTCCGCGAGGGCCGCGGTATCAACTCGTCCATCGCCGTCTACCAAGACGTTACTGGCAAGGCCAAGGAGAAGGCCGTCGCCCTCGGTGTTGCCGTCGGTTCCGGATACATGTACGAGACCACCTTCGAGAAGGAGGTCTACTCCGACCTGTACGGCGAGCGTGGTTGCCTGATGGGCGGAATCCACGGCATGTTCCTCGCGCAATACGAGGTCCTCCGTGAGCGCGGCCACAGCCCCTCTGAAGCCTTCAACGAGACCGTCGAGGAGGCGACCCAGTCTCTGTACCCCTTGATCGGCGCCAACGGCATGGACTATATGTACGCTGCGTGCTCCACCACTGCCCGCCGCGGTGCCATCGACTGGAGCAAGCGCTTCAAGGCCGCCCTCAAGCCCGTCTTCGACGACCTCTACACCTCCGTCGAGAACGGCAGCGAGACCAAGCGCTCCCTCGAGTACAACAGCCAGCCTGACTACCGCGAGAAGTACAACCAGGAGCTCAAGGAGATTGACGACCTGGAGATCTGGCGCGCTGGAAAGGCTGTCCGCTCCCTCCGCCCTGAGAACGCCAAGTAGATGTGCGTTCGAGGAGAGGTTGAGCTTGGATAGTATGGAAAGTGAAAATGTGTAGATAATGTCATGTCTTTTGTTACGATTAGGGATGTTATGGCGTCAAGCGCTGGATTTGTCATGGGCGCTGGTGTAGCTGCATTGGCGGCGGTCAAAAAAGAACATTGGAAGAGAGAAGGAAGGGATAGCGCAAAAGCGAAATGAATACCTTTCCATGACAACAATCATCTCACCCGATGCATTCATGTGTGATGTGTAGCCTGGACTGAAGATGTTCTATCTCGTCAGAGACATCTCACAATCAAGTGGATCCATCAATGCATCCAATTCATCCCAGATATCCGCCATACTACCCCTTCTTTACCCCAATCTAACCCTTCCCTACCCCATCCTATTATACTCCCCTCGCTGCAGCCCTTCCATCCCATTGTTATTCGAAACTGGCGGCGCTAACCTCGTAAAAGCCTTGGACCGTGCGTACGTCGTCCAAAGCCTCCCTTCCAAGTCTAAAAGTAGCCCTGGTTTGGGTCTTTGTGCTGAAGATACAGGGATGCTGCATTTGGGGGATGATGTTGACGTTGACGTTGATGAAGGCGAGGAGAGAGGTGAGCCTGTTGATGCTGAGGATGCAGGGGTGCTGCTTCTAGAGGACGAAGTTGAAGTTGACGAACTTGATGAAGTTGTGGAGGGAGGTGAGGTTGGCGATGTTGAGGCTGATGTGGATGTGGATGAGGTTGAAGTTCGATGGGCCATCTTTGTCCTTTCGATGTGTTTTGCGGGGTCGTTAAGGATTGTGTTGAAGTTTGGGGTTTGGTAGGGTTGCGCCGGTGTGTACATGTTTTTTCTGCGAAGATATCTTGGATGGGAGACCTCGCGAAGGTAGACGTTGTGATAGTAGTTGATGTGTTGGTAGTCGTCTGAATGGTAGATCGATCGTT